TCTGGGTGCTTGTCTGTTATCGGCGTGTTGAATGCGGCATGATAATAGCGTTTTCTCCACTTTTTTTATTCAGCAAGTGGGTGTGGGAGTGGTGTGTCGAATTGGTTTGTGTACAAGGCGCACCTAGGGTTGTGTCCGAAGTGTGGTGGTTGGTAGGCCAAACGTGTGTTATGTTTTTAACGGGGCGCGTCACACACAGTAGGGCAGCGAAAGCATGTGGGCCCACAGGCCAGGAGCGTATAGCTCTGATAGCATGTTGAGATACTAGAGTTTAGTAGGCTTAGAAGCCATGGGTTGAAGTGACTTAGTGGTGAATTTCGAGGGAAAGGAAAATGTCGAGAGAGTTGAGAGAGGAGAATGGTTGAACTAGAAAGTGGAGGGATACAAAATGCAAGCCCAAAAGGGTTATACTCACTTTTGAGTACCCCACTACAGACTAGACAAGCATTATAATCTGACATTCGTTTGTCGAATCGCCGAAAAAGTCGAGATTGACCAATCGCAAAGCACGATTCTTGTGGTCGCGTCGCCTTGCAGGCCAATCTGGTGCGTCGAAATCCAATAAATGAAATTGGACCCAACTGTGGCTTAACAACACCTGCACAACGATTAAAAAACTTTATATACTCCAACACGTGGCCAGCATAAAAGAATATGTATAGTTTAGCGCAATCATTACAAATGTATTCCCAGTTAACAATCCACCCCCTTTAAAGTATATATAACTGTCAGAATGTTATGTTTGTCTAGCCTGCAGTGGAGTACTCAATAGTGAGTATAGCCCAACTTAGGGTTTCCTTTATGTACTCAACTGTTAGCTAGTGAACCTCCTCCTTCTTCATTCCTCGTTTTCATTCTAAACTTTCACCTACTAAACTTCACATGCTATCAGAGCAGGTCGATCCCCTTGGGTCGATCCTGTGGGTGGGCTCACCACCTCACTGCTTCCGCTGCTACTGCTACTATCTGTGTTGCACGCCCCGTGGCGTGCAATGGATTTTTCATCCCGCCGCGCGCTCGGAGCGTGCAGCGGTTTTCTGCCCGCCGTGCGCCCCGAGGCGCGCGGCGGTTTTCTGCCTGCCGTGCGCCCCGAGGCGCGTGGCGGTTTTCTGCCCGCCGTGCGCCCCGAGGCACGCGGCAGTTTTCTGCCCGCCGCGTGCCCCGAGGCGCGTGGCGGGTTTCTGCCCCGTCACTCCGCGCGTCGCCATTGGGAGGCGCTGCGACGGGCGACGGGGACCCGCGCGTCGCCCCCCGTCGCCCGTTGTGGCCTGCGCGCGGCCCGTACGGGCTGCGCCAGGCTCGCGCGCGGCCCGTACGGGCTGCGTCAGGCAAGGGCGCGCCTCGAGCCGCCCACACGCGGTTCGTACGGGCTGCGCCAGGCCCGTGGGCGCCCTGTTACCTCTTCCCCAGAATTGCCCGCTCTCCCCCGTGCTTCTGACGGCGCCCCACCCCTGCTGCAGCCCGTTCTCCTGGATTAGGGTTTGGGGTGGGGGGTATGGGGGTGCAGCTTCTGTGTGCCGTCCCCTGCTCCTCCTCCTCCTCCGTCTCCCAGTACTGCAGCTGCCGCTAAGGGGGGGTGGACCTGTTGGAGCCGTCGGGGTGGTACTAAGGGGGGTGCAGGGGGAGTGGAGCTAGCGGTGAAGCAGGGGGTGTGTGTCAGGGGGGGTGGGACTATTTGGGGAGGTTGAACGGAGGTTGCCGTTGTGTCGCCAGCAGCACCTGTAGTCCGGGCAGTTGCTCCGGTAGCGCAGTCGCAGCCAGCTGTGCCAGTCGCCCGTGGGTCCGTTGCTCGTCTGCCGCTAGTTTTAGCCGCGGAGCCAGTTACTCCAGTAGTCCGGAGCGTTGTTCCGGTAGCCGCTGTGCCAGTGTGACTCCTGTTGCCCGTGTGTCTGCAGCTTCAGCCGTCGCCTCCTATCTCCTCTCCTCTCACAGTCCCTCTTCCTTCTCACTTGCCCGCTGTGACTACCACTAACTTTGCTCATAATTATGAACTTTAAACTGTTGCTTCTTGTACTTGTGCTTAGAATGTGTGGTGACATTGTGATCCACCCTGAGCTTGTTCTGCTTTGCTTGCTGTGCTGATTACATCCCACTTTGGCTATGGGGATGTGTCAGAATGTTATGTTTGTCTAGCGTACAATGGGGTACTCAATAGTGAGTACAGCCCGACTTAGGGTTTCCTATATGTACTCAACTGCTTGCTAGTGAACCTCCTCCTTCATTCCTCGTTTTCATTCTAAACTTTCACCTACTAAACTTCACAATAACGCTTTGTAACATTAATATATAAGTACTACGAGTTGAGTAAATTGTAAACTATTAACAATTTTGTTTGCACTACCATTTCACCAATGCATTTTTTACAGTGAGTGCAGGTTTTACCGATTTCACTTTGTGATATATATATTTATATATTAGAAAAAAAGAGTTCGTCATTCTTCTTGGGCGAATGCTTATACCGAAAGCGATGGTGTAAAATCCGATTTCTCACCATCACATCCTCGCAATTTCTTGGCAATCTTCACGACACTACATGCGAACTGTGAGCGACACCTGTCGAGCTGATCACGAAACAGACGAAATTGCACAGCTTATCACATGCTGGGGAACATGAAATAGGCGACAATCGTGCAATACACTTCCCTGTGTCCAGGCACTTCAAAGAAAATGGGAAACACTGCAACTCAGCAGGTAGTACATTCGCGCCACCTGCCATGCTCAGGTGGTCTGTAATCTGCCAGCTGCACCGAAAACTGCACAACTGCCATCAGAAAATCAGCTGAGCAGAAGAACACTCAACCTCATAACCCACGTCATCAACTATCTGCTCCAACTCTTTCCCCATATCTCGTAAACCCCCACTACCGTAACTAAACAACCCTAAACCGATCGAAAACTCATCCTTACCACGTTGTGTCACAAAGCTTAACCATTTAGCTTGCCCTTCACAATCATTTCCTATTTGCTTCTAGCTGCTCCACTTCTGTTTCTACGTGTAACATCCTCTCAGTACTAATGGTTCGGCACCATTTCCCCTGGTGGTGTTTTGTTACGCTGATGTAGCCTTTGCAGGCAAAAAAACGCTTTCACTAATTCACCAGGCTATCAGCATATTGCATCTGTTTTACAGGCCTATCCCGCTCTTCCAGCGAAGGCCCGACCGCATCCACCGTTTTCGCTCTCCCGAGTACATTTATTCGCCTCTTTTTCATTCATTTTCTGACGGTTGTTCGCCCTTCTCCTTGCCTCTCGCTTTCGCAGGCTCTTCCAGGAGTGGTGGCAAGGAGCAAGGCCGCGGGGATGGTTGGCGGGTGGGCGTGTTGGCAGTGATGGTGATGCTCGGAAGCGACGAGGGTCTCACCTAGGGAAATTCGACGCAGCGCCACTGGCGCAGCAACGGCTCCAGTCGTGGCTTTTTTCCCATGCGTCACGCTGCTACTAGCAGCCGTGGGTGACCATCGACGTCTACTTAGGTGCGAAAGTATAATTTTGAATTCATGTTCCTCTACCCAACATGGCAGGACATGTAGCGGTCTTTTGTTTTTGTTTGTGTTTTTTGCGTCCATGTTCCTGTTGGTGCAGGGCGCGTCTACCCAACAAAAGACTGGAAGTTCATTGTGGCAATAACGGTTTGGCCTGCAATATGGTATGTACTGAAGTTCAGTGTTTTTGTTACATATGCTAATTACTGACTTTTTTTTCTGCAGGTGTTTGATATGCAGATGAGTTGCAGATGTTATATTTCTTGGACTTGCCTCATAAATTAGCTGATGATTAGTAGCTGAAGAGGCAGTAATACTGGAGAGTGTGGCATGTTGTCATTGTCATAGTTTGTCCTGAATGACAGGAAAATGCGATGTACGTTGATTTTCTTTGTATCTGGTTTTCATATTGTGTAATGTGCTGTTTTAAAATGTAATATTTTAACATTTCTCAATTAAATGTTGCACCAGCTCTTTTTGTGTTTATTCATAAGGATCTCGGTGCACGCAAAATCACTGTAGCTACTACACCAGTATGCGAATCAGTTTATCGGTGTTGGCGACGCGGATGAACAGTGTTGACCTGCGCGTCACCTTTGGGTTGGCTGCGAGGTGAGGCTGGGGTCAGGATGAAGTGACCCAAACTTCACGTACCCTGGGACCCTAGCTAAACCTGAGCGCCTGACCCGAAGGTGACCCAGGGGTCGATTTCGGGTTAGGTTGGGGTGAGACCTTTTTTCGGAATAGTATTCCGAGCAATATTTTTCTGTGTACATCCTTGTTGTGTTACTTTCCAGCCTCAACTGAACATGCAGTGTGTTTATGTATGTATTCATTCATTCATCATAATTATTTTCTACATGGGGTGCTGCTAACCAGTGGGTCTTGTATGTTGGTTTTGATTGCAGGTGATGCAGGAGACGAGGACTATTATTCAAGTGATGTTCCAGGGAATTATTGAAGTGCAAGCCAAGAGAAAGGCTAGCCTTAACTAGTACTATGCATAATGGAACACATCGTGCTATCAATTGTTACGCTATCTGAAACATGTTTCCACTCTCAGCTAGTGTTGGTTAGAGAGTTTTTTTTTCCCCGCATTTATTGAAACGTAGCATTCTGTAACTGTTATTACCGTGCAGTAATCACAAAACGACGGCATTGCGACTTTCGCAGCAGAATACTGGGATGGGATGGAGGCACAACTGTGACATGCAAGTCACTCACAACGTAGCCTCTCTGGTGCTTCCAAGTTCCAACCAACAGCATGGAGTTGACACAAGAGAGGGAGAGGCAGAAACAGGCATAGAAAGAGAGATGTCACAAAATCTGTTGAATACGGTAGCTCCTCAAGGTTCAAATCTGGGTGCACAGCACATTCAACTTCTCAAAACGGATGTGACAACAAAGTACGAGCCCAGGCCACCCCTGTGGGACGTTGAAAAACCCATTAAATACATTGCTTGTCTCACCTATCCGTGAGCTCGCTTCACTTGCAGCAAGCATGAGATTCCTTGCCTCTCACCTCACCTGCAGGATGCGAGCCCGTGCCTCCTCAGTGGGGTGTGGGAACTCAATCTTCCTGTCCAGCCGCCCCGAGCGCATGAGAGCGGGGTCCAGGATGTCAGCTCGGTTGGTGGCTGCCACCACCTGGTGAGACACGGTGTGACAGGGGTTTGAATGGGGGTGAATGAGCCCGTGTCGCTCCGGGCGCATGAGAGCCAGATCCAGGATGTCAGCTCGGTTGGTGGCTGCCACCATCTGGTGCGACATGGGGCGAATGTGGGGGGGTGAAGGTGAGTGAAAGGGGGTTGAATAGGGTGGGGTGTAGCGGCAACAAGGCCTGAGCCGCCCCGAGCGCCATGAGAGCCGAGTCCAAGATGTTGGCTCGGTTTGGACCTGCGACAACCTGATGGTACGAGTAAAACAGATTCATGGTGCGAATTACTGCAGATTCCTGGATGGGAGAGGGAAGAAGGGAGGAAGTGTTGCGAGGTGCCTCAAATCTTAAGACACAGTGCTTGCTCAGGCCATGACTGCCATTGGCGAAACTCCGAGTGTGGATGAGAAGAAGGGCAGGAGGGCTTAGTCAGTGTGGGGAGAGGAGCGAAGATGGTGAGGATGTGGAGAGATTGGGAGGTGAGGAGGCAAAGAAGGCACTTGACTAGAGAGCACAGCAGCCGAGCATAACCATCATGGGTGGCTGGCTAGCCGTCTCACCTTGATTCTGTCATTACTACTCAAGCCAGCAGCTCCAGCATCATTCATTGGACAATTTTGACTTGACTGGCCGTCTCACCTTGATTCTGTCGTCACTGCTGAAGCCATCCAGTTGACTCAGCAGCTCCAGCATCGTTCCCTGCACCTCACGGTCCCCACTCTCTTCACTGCCAGCATTTAGGGTTTGAACTCAATGCGAGCCCGGGCCTCCTCGATGGGGGTGGCAACTCAATCTTCCTGTCCAGCCAACCCCAACGCATGAGAGCCGGGTCCAAGATGTCAGCTCTGTTCGTGGCTCCCACCACCTGGTGGAGAAACGGGGAGAATGGGGGTGAAGGGGGTGATGGGCCGAGAGGGAGGAGAGTGGCATCAAGGCACGAGCCGCCCCGAGCACATGAGAGCGGGGTCGAGGATGTCGGCTTGGTTGGTGGTTGCGACTAACTGGTGGAGACATGGGGTGAATGGGGGGAGGGGCAAGAGGGACGAGCAGCAGAAACGCTTGGTTTGGTGAGGACAGGCGAGAAGGTGGGGAGGGAGGGTGAGCTTGAGGAGTGGGGAGGTGTGGGTTGAAGGGATAAGGAGGCATGGATGGAGCTTGAGTGGAACGCACAAGTGAGAATGAAAAAAAAACCAAAAAAAAAAACAAACAAACAAAAAAGTGCGCATGAGATCTGAATGTGACAACTAACATTGTCATGTGTAGCTGGCTCCCCCACCTTGATTTTGTCATCACTGCTGAAACCATCCAGCTGACTCGACAGCTCCAACAATATTCATCGAACCATAACTTGTCTTGACCATCAAGATCACCTTGATTCTGTCTTGATTGACCACCTCACCTTGGATCTGTCTTGACTGACCATCTCACCTAGATTCTGTCTTGACTAACCATCTCACCTTGATTCTGTCTTGACTGACCATGTCACCTAGATTCTGTCTTGACTAACCATCTCACCTTGATTCTGTCTTGATTGACCATCTGACCTTGATTCTGTTGTCGCTTCTGAAGCCATCCAGCTGACTCACCAGCTCCAGCATCGTTCTCTGCACCTCATGGTCCCCACTCACTTCACTGCCAGTGTTTGGGGTTCGAGGGCGAATAGACGGTTCAAAATCACAATAGTGGGTGGGAAAAAGGGAAACGATGGGAAGTGGGCACAGAGCAAGTGAAGACCAATCTGCACTGGCTACTGACTACGGTGTTGAGGTGACTTTTGAGTAGACTTCAAAGTCATCTCAGAGCAAGTGAACACCAAACTGCACTGGCTACTGCACTCGTTTAGTGCTGTTTGGCAAACGAGTGCATTCAATGGCGTGAACAACATTCAAACATGGCGCATAAAACTCACCTGTTAAGGCGCTTTGTATCAAGGCTCATAGATTGAACATATGACATGGGTACAGCAGACATGCTCGGTTGACTCAACAGGCACAGACGCAAGGTAAGTCAATCAGGGACAGCCAAAAAGCGGCACCCACGTTGACACCTACCATAGCTTCAGAATCCCCCTCCTCTCTGCCCCTCTGCTCCGCCCCACTGCCCTCCTCTGCTCCGCTTCCCCCCTCCCCTCTCCCCCAGTTCCCCCTCCCCTCCCTCCCCCCGTCCCTGAGAGCCCACGCCCATGGCTGCTCCCCCGGCACCTGGGGAAGTGGGGGGGAGGGGGGGGGGGAGAGGAGAGGACCGAAAGGGCAAAGTATAGAAACTAGTGAACATGGGTAGTGAAGTGCCTAAGAGCTCGCGCTCATGGCTGCTCCCCCGGCACCAGATGGGAGGTGGGGGGGAGGAGAGAGGAGAGGACGGAAAGGGGAGAAGGATACAAAACGGATGAAGGGAGAGGTGGAGAGGAGTGAATGGGGGAGGAGGAATCGAGGGAGGGGGAATCAAGGGAGGGGCAATCAAGGGAGGGGGAATTGGGGAGGGGGAATCAAGGGAGGGGCAATCAAGGGAGGGGGAATTGGGGAGGGGGGATCGGGGAGGGTGGGAGTAGGGGAGAAAAGAAGAGGGGCAGGAGTACGGGATTCACACTAGAGGTAGAAAAAATCATGATTGGATGAGTGCAGAGCCCAAGCGATGCTTCACATGTGGAGCCAAACAACGCCGTTCACACGGGGACTCACCTGCACACAGTACAGCAGTCGCCTCTCCCAGATACTGACAAAATCTGCCGCCCTTCCTCCACCCCCTTCCCCCATCCCCTCCGCCCAATCGCCCCCCATTCCTCCCCCGCAGTTCCCATCAGTGTACTTGGTCGTGCGCCAGGGGGAAGAGGGGGGGGCGGGGGAGACCGAGGGGGAAGCAGATGGATGAGGGCTGTCTTCTTCCTTTGTAGAGGCTCTAATAAAACTCGGTGCCCCACATGCCCTGTACCTGTGGGAACGGGAACAATTGGCAGGAGGACCCACGTCGAAACCAATAATGATAGGTCCGTGACGGGTCCTTGCTTGCGTGGCATTAGTAGCCTCTGTCTGTAGCTTCCGCAATCACGTGTTCTGGTGCCATGTAGCGCTATTTGAATCAGACAACACCGGTGGCGCAAATAATTGTGTGTGAAGGGCGGGCAGTAAGTGAGAGAGCTTGCATAGTGCTCAGAGCTGAAGGTGCTTGAAGGAATGGAACGGCATAGTACGCATACGCACTAAGGAGCAATAGCTCTGGAATCGAGCTCAAAATACAGTAGGACAAACCAATGATAATTATTGCACACTATAAGACCAATCAATCACCCTAAGGTCTTACTAGTAATATAGAAAGTTGCTGCGTTGTTTCTTGAGGCATTAAAATCCTATGCGGAGGAATTGACCATACTGCGTTTCAATTTGAGAAACGGGCCGAATGATAAATTTAATCAGCAACGTACACGGCACATAGTGGCAGCCAGCAAACTCGCAGCGGGCAATCTTAAGCGCAAGCAAGCTTGCAACTCTGTTCCATCGCTTGCAACAAGTAAGACGGGCATTCACACAAATTGCAGAGATTTCATGGCTCTGACGTAGAGATGCTGCACTGCCACAGTGAGTAACAGATGCTTGCATCTTGTGATCAGGAAGATGGTGTCACCAAACAGCAAGTCAGGGGTTGCTCAACGTCAGCAGCAGGGTTGGGAACCTTATTCTTCTTCACGATGTGGCATAGGAAGATAATCCTCACGATGCCAAGAAGGATTATCAGAATGCTCAAGACAATGAGTAGCCAGCCCCACCACGTAAGATATGTTGTAGTCCCTCCACTGGCAGTAGGTTGGGAAGGACAAACAGAAATACGGCACTCGCCACCCTTGTACACTTTACCTGGTATGATGGATTAGGCAGACGGGAGAAGAACAGGAGAAGAACAGGGTATGTCAAAGTGAGTTTGTTGTTTTTCTTCGAAATGACACACAGCATAAAGCAGTTGGGTGCAAGCAGCGGGTCACAAGATGGGTCAGCCAATGCACACCGTGAGTGAATCGATGCGATCACAAGCCAGAGTCACCAATTCCTAACCAAAAACAAATTGAGAAACAAAATAATGAGAGAAGCAGGGCTCGAGCTAGACTCACCCATGGTACCAGTTTCGAAGTTGAACCCATCAACCCAATTGGGCTGGAAGGTATGACTGCAGCCACCAGTATTGTCGGGCGCGCATTGCTGCGGTGAATGAGTTTTGCAACCAGTTGAAGTGTCATGCAATGTTGATGATGTGGTCGGATGAGATCCATCGAGGTCCCATGCGGTCCGCATTCATGAGGAGAAAAGGGGTGTGGCGAAGAGGGAGGAGGAATAAGGAAATCGGAAGTTGCATTTCGAGCAGAGAGCAGAGGGAGGAGCAGAAAGCAAAGAGCAATGGGCAATTCGAGCCTTTTCCAACGAAGGCGCCAGAAACGCCAAGTTTCTGTTTCTCCACCTTTTCACCGAGAAGAGTAAGTATGTAACGCATCGCCCTCCTACCCTACGAGCGTTTCCTAGCTAAAGCACTACCTAAGCAAGGTATCGACTTACGGGAAGAAGAGGATGGAGGAGATGAGTGGTGATTGGTCCACAATTGTGGACAACCACCCACTAAAAAAGACAAGCATGGTTGGAATCCAACCCAACCCCACATTGGTTGGAATTCCAACCAATGACAATTGAACATTGTTGTTACAAGTTACAACATGTAACATAACCATTCTTATCACAATTCTATTGCTCTCATTGGTTGCTAATCCAACCATTGTGCCACCTAAGCAAGCTCACCCCAAGGAGCTCCTTGCCCTTGTTGCCATGGAGGAAGTGGAGCTCCCCAAGGAGGTCTAGGGGGGGGATTGAGCTCACCAAGCTCATTTCTCAACTCCCAACTTCCAATTAACCAAATGGAAATGGGATTTTACTTCTAAGTCCATGACTTTTCCCTCACAAGTGCTCCAAGCATCTACTATCTTCTTGGTGAAGCTACATTTTTCTCTTCCAAGGTTTCACCTGCCAAGTCTCCAAGACTTGAGGCTACTATTAGGACTAGTCCCTGTTATGTGTGTGTGTTCTTGGCGTTTTATAAGCCTACTATTGACCCTTTTTGTGGGCATTCTTTTATAAGCCCGGGTCTTTATTGTGTTTTAAAGGGCGTTTTCATATAAGCCCGTGTTACATTTGGTATTCAGAGCTTTGGTTATCCTTGGCCCTGTGTGGCTAACTATATATATATATATATATATATTTTAGGAGTTCCTAGATCTTAGATCTAGAAAAGTCTCAAGCTCTTTCTTTAAGAAGAGTTGAGAAACTCCCAAGATCAAGAAGTCTTCTTCAAGGATTTCCAATCTATAAAAGCTCTTTGAGCTTTAAGAGAATTTATTTCTCTGCCCACCTTTCTTGGTGGAAGACTCATTGCTATTTTTATAATGGCAGAGTGTTACAGATCTAAGAGATTTGTTAAAAGATTCCTCTAAATTTGCTCTTTGAGCAATTTGGGGAACTCTCTCTATTTCCTTATTGGAATAGAAGACTTATTAACAACTCTTTCTCTGTACCTTTCTCTTTGTGAGAATATTGATCTATATAAAAGATTTCTGGAAATTTTCAGAATCTCTTGCCTATCACCTTGAGTGATAGAGGACCCTTACTAAGATCATATTTCTTAACAAAGAAGAACCACTCTTTTTAAGCTCCATCTTAACAACCCCTCTATGGCTACTCCTCATGAGGAACCACCAAAGGAGGATGTCCCTATGACCTCAGTTGATGAACTGGAAGACTTTCCAGATCTTGACCTTAATGCTGAGGACGTCATAGGGGACCTTCCTGAGGAAGAGGAAGAAGCCCTGGGAAACCAGGAAGAGAATGGAGAACAGGAAGGGCTTGATGATGTTGGCACCGATGATAATTTCCCTGAGGAGTTTGAAAAACTTCAAACCACGGTGGCCGAGCAAGCATCTTCCTTACTGCAGCAAAAACGCAGGGTCAATGAGCTTGAGGCTCAAGTTGCTGAGCAGAAAGTTTCACTTGAAACAATCAATGCTCAGCTTACCAAAGTCACTACCGAGGCTCGTCAGTTTAAGAGGTCTCTTGGCCTCAAGAACAACCAGATCAAGAGCCTCGAGGACACCCTGCAGCAGCTAAGTGCTACGTGCA